AGCGGTTCAGTTTTAATTGGCTGCGATTCGATTTAATTTGATTCGGTTTTCGATTTTCGGTTTTTTGGACCCAACCCCATAACTGGGGTTTTTCAGGAACCAAGAAGCCGGAAGGAAGATATATATTCTTTTCTATTGGAAGCTCACGAACAAGCAGCAACCGCAGGGGTGATTTCATTATTCCTATCACAATTCTCTTAGCCGCAGCAGTAAAGATTCCATTTTTTTCCTTATCAATTAGCCGCAGCAGAGTTTATTTCCATTCTTGCGTTCTGTCCTTGGTGAATCAGCCGCACCAGCAAGAAAGAATATCAGAACTGTTTCTAAGCTGCACTCTATCAATTTTCTCCAAGTTAATTTAGAATCCAAACATTCATTGTAAGTTAAACATATTTTACATTACATAGTTTCAGTTTTGAATTAACTTTCGAAGATGTCTTTCTGTAGTTGATAATTAAGAATTTCCTAGAGCATTATTCTACTTCAATTTTTCTAGCCCTTATCATGCTTATCAATATGATTGTGATGTTAATTTTTAGTATGATCTCTTGTAGGCTTTGAATTGGGGCTAGGGTTTATGGGTTCTTAAGGGTGTGAATTTAGTTTTTGAAATTCAATTAATTTTCTGGAAAATTGTATGAGATTAATCAAAATTGTTAATATGAATTTGATCACCTCATATATGAGTTTTGGATTTAATTCAATTCTTGTCTATGAGAAATTGAGTCAAATTAGCTCAGGTCTTATACAAACAATCTGATCTTAAAAATAAGTTAGGATTGTAAAAATTTGATTTAATTCTTGTCTATGAGAATTTATTTCATTTTCTGTCCAGGAGTAATTGAGAATTAATTAACTTAATTCTAATCCCGGAAGAACAGCCAAAATCCGAACCATCCAATTTGAACCCTGTTTTAATATCTAGAATCAATTTAATTTTTTTTACTCTATTTATTTTTGCACTCACTGTTACTCCGTAGTTAGTAATTTTTTAAACCACCCAAAATCATTATTCGGAAAGATTACCATGACTTGTGCTAGCCTGTGATCACGGATTGTATTTAAAAACTTCCTTTTTGTCACTCCTTGAGAGACGATACTTGTGGTATGGTTAATCTTCGGATTAGCCAACTACATTTTACTTTACTAAAAAAATACCGATCACCATTCAAACATGTGGAGTGGTCACTGTCTCATTGTCCTCCAATGTAGTATTTATATGAGCAACTGTTTCTGAAATCAATTCATCATTAACTTCCAAATTACTTGGTAGCAACCCCTGTTTTTCCAATATTTGTTTTCCCACGTGAGGGCTTTTGTAGTTGTTGCTTCCTTTGCATTCCAAAATCTCAACCATGACACCTTGTAATTGAAGCCAATTGTGATTTACCTTATGTGCTACAAATTCTGCATATGCTTTTGTACTGTTGTAACCAATTGCTAGAGTGTCTTTGGACTTTTTCTAGTACTGAATTGTTTGTATTGCCCTAAAAACCAAGATCTAAGATATTTAGGTCAGGGGAATTAGGTGGCCGATAGACCAGTTGCATTTACACCCATCCATTCTACCGGCAACCATAAATGCTGCATCATTCATACCAATGCGAGGCTTTGCATTGTCTTGTTGTATCCATATAGTTTTATATGCATTGGGTGGCCATTTTTCTTTGATTGTTGGAATCAAGATTGTAAGAAATACATTTTTGATGACTTCCTTTGTGATGGATGTGGTTGCTTTAATTTAAAGTGTGCCTGCACTTCTGTTTTTGCTCTTTCTCTTTGCTGCCACTAAATCTGTGGAAGGGAAAATTCCAATTTTTCCATCCCATAAAATTGATCCATCATCATTGATCCATGGTCTAGCAATGGCTGCCAAAAACATTACTTGTTGATAAATCTTTTACTTTTACTGCTTCAATGAAGATCCTCTGATGAGTGCCCTTGATACCAACTGTGAGTTCCAAGTGAGGTAAAAGTCTTGAGAGGGAGGTAAAAGTCTTGAGAGGGGGTGGGGGGTGGGGGGGTGGATAGACTTTTAAATCTTTTCATTTTCTTCCCCTTATTCTCTAACTGGATATGTTCCAACATCTTTTAAGAGATATTGAAACATGCAACGGAAGTCTTGACCTCAAGAGGATGTCACTATATAGAGACACATGTTATGACCCTTTTAGTTGTGAGAGAGATGAGTTAAACATTGCACAAATGTGTTTGCCCGAAACAGAACACTTTTGGAAGCAGGCTGCCGACACCTGAAGGAGATGGTTGCCAAAAATCTTTGGGAGGTGATTGCCAAACCTTAGGAGTAGGCTGCCGAAATGTGTTTCTGTTTGTTTAGTTAAAGTATAGCACAGAACATTACTCTAACAATTTGACTGACTTTTGAACTAGTCTAACACAAGTGTATGAAGGATTTAGACCAATGGAGATAGGTCACTTTGAAGAATAGATAACAAGGAGATGACTCACAGTGAACTGGGAAAGTTCACTGGACAGTTTAAATGAGCAAGCTGTTTTTCTTGTGCAGTTGTGAAGGTGAGTGAGAACTGAAATAAGTGTTAGGTGCAGAATGTAAAGGTGACACACGATGTATCCTGGTTCAGGGGTGGTGTAATCCCCCTACATCCAGTCCCAACCTATTTCAGATGGATTTTCACTAAATGTATATCCCATTACATCTAGTACCCAATCTACCCTTGGCCCAGGCGTAAATTGTGAGGTTTCACAAGGAACTTGAACACCGTTCTAAGCTACTCATGTCCTCCCAAGGTTTTTCACTAATGACATTGACTCGCCAAGAGCTACTCATGTCCTTGCCCTTTCTCACCTTCTGGATTTGATCACCAAGCCCTCCAGAATTGTCTAACACTAGTCTAGAATACATGTGTGTATTTTCTAAACTACCAACTAGTCTAAGCTCTATTGATTTGTATGAATCATAACTAGTCTAAGAGCATTAGACGAGTGGGGTGGCGGCCTAAGTGTAGAAGGGAAATCAGCTGGCTGGATTTGAGCGTGAAGAGTGTGATTTTCTTCTATCCACTCGGCTCCTTTGTTTTTCCACTTAATTACCACATTTTTCCACACTTGGTAATCCCGCACTCCTTCTGTATTTATAGACTTGATCACTTCATCTTCACCTTTGCCTGAGAAAATGAATCTTGACCGTTGCTTGATCTACTTGCTTTGTTTCACTTGACTAAGGTAGCATGGTTTCTTCTTGTCACGTAGTGACACGAATCAACTATCTCCATCTCAACTTGTTTACACATTTCAATGCAAGATAAAAGATATTTCATCTTTTATTTTCCTACGTAGAAACTAGTATAAAGCTGAGTGATATTTCAATGCTTCGTTACAACCAGCGAACACTTGCTTTTGTAAGATAAATTTATAAGAAATTCATAATGTGATAAAAAATCTCTTATAAATTTACTTTTTAACAATTTGTTCTTTTGTCTGCATGTTGGTCTTTTGTATAAGTGTTTTGTGCTAAGAGAAGAGAGAATTGAATTTCGGATAAGTTAGCTGAAAAACCCTGTTTTCAGCTGGCTGCCAAGCCTTTCGGCTGGCTGCCCAGAAAATCAGCTGACTGCTGATTTCTGAAGTTTTCCAGTTAGCTTATTCCTTCTATGAATACCAGTTAACTCTTTTCGTACCTTTTCTTCTTTTTTTGACCTTTTTCTTTCTTCTGTTTATGGTACGTTTAACTTCTATTTTTAGTACTCTTCTGTTTATGAGTACTTTATCCACTAAATATGGAGCACATTACAATTACACAAAGTAGAACAAGGTAGTAGACTAGTCTAATACAGGAATAATAAAAAGGGGTGGCATCATCAAAACTATTACATTTAACCATCAAAATCTAGGGGACCTAACATCCTCCTTTAAGGGTAAAAGATAGTATCGTTGAGTAAATTGGCTCATAGTGATGCTTCTTGGAATAATGTGACACATTGACCACTTTAATCTCTCCAGTTTGTTCTTGTCGTTCAAAGCAGGCATTATTGCATTTGTGTGTGCTCTTATAATACCAGGACTTAGTAACTTATGGATTTTGGAAACACTAACCCCAAGACAAGATGCCAAGCTTCTCAGATCAGAGTGGTCATGTTGCTCTTTGGAATGGCACATATCTGTTCTATGTCAATTGGTATAGTTTTCCTGCCACAGTTCCTTTTCTTTTTACCATCTGTGTTATTTCCAGACCTTGTTCAACTTGTTGTTTTGTTGTTGCCCAGATTTTGCCAACTGTCTTAATGCAAACATTGTGGGTACTGGCAAGTTCTTTCAATACTCCTCTCTCACGACATTCACTTGACTTTGATAACAACTCTTCTGCTGTTATCTTTCTTTTTGACTTTGTGATTGACATACATGCTTTTGTAGGTACAGATTCATGTGAGTTTGGTTCTGTGCTCTCAACAAATGAGTGTTCATCTTCAGAATCGCCATCACCTTTATCTGCTTCACCTGCAATGCCTTTCTCAATAGGCATCATCTCTTCTGGAAGAATACAAAAAGAACCTGCTGCTCTCATCTTAAGTCCAAATTCGCTGGAAAAGATGTGCACAAAGGCTGATATTCTTTGTTGTTTTGGTGGGGAAGATCTGTGGAAAGGCTGATTTTTGTTTTGCTATTTTGGAGGGAAGTGTAAAAATAGCTAGCCTTTTGTATGAGGAAGTGGTCCAGCCCAGCTGGTCGCCGACTCACTCTCCCTTATGGGAGGTCCCGAGTTCAATTCTCAGTGGAGTGAGATTGATCCCAGTTTACCTCAGGCCCCCGAACCCCGACGCCCCATGGGGTAAAAAAAAGAAAAAAAATGATTGAGTTTAAAAAAAACTAGCCTTTTGTATTTATAACAAGTGTTGTAGGGCCTTAGTAGGAGTAGGCCCTCATGCTTGATTGGACGCATGCCACTCTCTTTCCTTTGAATTTGCTCCTTTTCTCTTTCTTGCTTCACAAATTTAATTACATCTATTAATCCATTCTATTTCCTACATTTCCATTTAATCACATCCCAACACTTTTTACTTTACTCCCACTACTTTATTATAAAAATCCGTGCCCAAGGTTAGAGGGACAGATAATAAAGAACGAATTGAGTACAAAGAACCTCTACTTATCTAACACTAAACTTTAATTTTTTGAAAAAAATATTTTTGCTCAAATAGATTAACTTTTACTTTTACACATTTTATTTAAAATCATTTTAAAACGAATCATTCATAAACACCCACATTACTATGCTTCTTGAGTTCTAAATATACAAAATGATAGTTTTTATAACTTAATGTAGGTTTCATGATAAAAAACACTATAAATGTCGAGAATAAAGATAAGGCTTAAAATTATAAGTATATCTTACTCATCGTTTTAAGTAGAAGTAATCACCAACACTCCTATAAGGATGCCACCTGAGTTATAAATGTACAATATGATATTTTCATTATAGCTTATTGAGCGATTCACAAAAACAACTCAATGAATGTAAGAAATAAAGGTAAGGCTTAAAACTATAAGTATATCGTACTCTTCGCATAACCTACTTCCTACTAAGTTATGGGTCTGTGTAATATGACTTATCCTTGCAACAAAAATAATTCAACCACATATGAGTATAGCTTTGATTTGTTTCATACTTCCTCATAAAATATATGAGTAAGTATGAAACAAATTGAGCATGAATAACATCTCACATTTGGTTAGCAAATATCTTTTATATATAATACGGAGCACACTTTATACACAAATTTGTATTTATTACATTAGCCTTTTTATATAGTAGGGCCTATCGTGCCCATATCGATTGTCCGGCCCACATTTTCTTATGATTGCGTTTTACAGGGTTTGACTGGTTATAAAGCACATGGGTTCATGTCCACACTCAAATTATTTTTGAATATATATAAATAATATGAATATATATATATATATATATATATATATATATATATATATATATATATATATATTAAAACTACATTAAAAATTTTACAGTCACAAAAAATGACAAAGTTTTAAGGGACAGATGGAGTATATATTAAAATTATAAAAGGTTTTCGTCCCTGTCTCAAATCGGTTGGGTCCAAGAAAATAATCATTGTTTTGGAACATGTTACTTAGTTCGATTCTATTACATTATGATTTGATAGTATGCTTTTTGAAATAACTACATTTTTGTGCTTAAAATGAAGACGATTTACAAAAATGTGATTAGTGACTAGAGTAGTAATGAAATCATAGTAACATGTGTTCATTTTTTGATCTCAAGTTACTATGACACTACATTGTAGTAACTAATAGTCATATTTGTGTAAATACGTTTTATTTTAATAATATTTTTGTAAAAACCCCATGCTTTTTTAAGGGTTTTTAACAACTCCTATTACTTGTTTCATGTGCATCATACATCTTTGAAACCTTGTAGATTGAGAAATAAAGGAACTAAGAAAAAGTACACCCTAGTAGATTAATAGCAAGAAACTCAATTTTTATGTATTTATAAGAAAACCAATTTCCAAATAGTTGAAGTTCTAATTCCATGTTTATAGGAGTGGACTCGGGTCGGGCCAACCGGTCCGGAACCGGCCCGGACCGGTACTGTTTGTACCCGGCCCGGCCCGGCCCGGTAACCGGTCTTGGTGCCGGTTCGGGCCACCCGACCCGGTCTGAAAGCGGTTCGGGCTCGGGCCTGCATATAAGTGAACCGGCCCGGCCGGGCCCGGTCCGGGCCACAACGGCCATATTTAATTTTTTTTTTTAAATAATTTAAGGCTTCTAGCAATTGGGACTGTTCCAAAACGGCTCTATAGCCGTTGGGGGCATAGGAGGGGGGTCTGGGGGGTTTGGGGGGTGGGGGTGGGGGTGGGAGTGGGGTATACAAAAAAACCTATTTATACTCCTATTTTCTATACATTTTTTACACCTCTTCTTCTACAACTCTTCATACTCTCTAATTCTCTATTCTCTCAATTTCTCATATTCAATCATCTTCATTCTTCATCTTCTCCAAATTCTTTCTACACATATATATTTTATATAATTATTATATCTACTTATATATTAATTATCTACTTATAAATATATACTTATATATACTTATACACATTCATATTATAATTCTTTACACATTATATATACTATATATACTTATACACATTCATATTTACTTCATATTTAGTTATTATCCATACTATTGTTATTTACTTATATTTACATATTACATTTAGTTAATACACACACTGACACACACACACACACACACACACACACACACACACACACACACACACATAAAAGTATTAAGTATAAGTGTATTACTCTTCTTATAGTAATATACTTATATATTATATACTATAAACATTATATTATATATTACTTATAATACATTTACACATTATATCAACTATATATACTTATACACATTCATACATTTTATAAAAGTAGTTAATTGTTAGACTTCTCATTTATCTATTAAATTAGTTAATTGTTACATTTCTCTACATTTCTCTTTAAAGAAAAAAAAATAGTTACTTGTTACATATCATTTTTCATTTAATATTACTTAAACTAGTTACTTAGTTAATTGCTACATTTCTCATTAAAGTAAAAAAAACTAGTTAATTTTTACATTTGTCATATTAATATTAGTTAAACTAGTTAATTGTTACATTTGTCATATTAATATTAGTTAAACTAGTTAATTGTTACATTTCTCATATTAATATTAGTTAATTGCTACATTTCTCATTAAAGTAAAAAAAAACTAGTTAATTGTTACATTTGTCATATTAATATTAGTTAAACTAGTTAATTGTTACATTTCTCATATTAATATTAGTTAAACTAGTTAATTGTTACATTTCTCATATTAATATTAGTTAATTGCTACATTTCTCATTAAAATAAAAAAAACTAGTTAATTTTTACATTTTTCATATTAATATTAGTTAAACTAGTTAATTGTTACATTTCTCATATTAATATTAGTTAATTGCTACATTTCTCATTAAAATAAAAAAAAACTAGTTAATTTTTACATTTGTCATATTAATATTAGTTAAACTAGTTAATTGTTACATTTCTCATATTAATATTAGTTAATTGCTACATTTCTCATTAAAGTATTAATTAGAAGTAGTTCGATTTTTTTTCTAGGAAAACAAATTGTTACATTTGATATACTCATATTTTGGTTTGAATTTGCTATAGTTTTCTTAGTCACATTTTATTATTACTATTGTACTCATATAAAATATTTGATATCATTTAAAATTTTTTCAATTTTAAAGATGGACCGTGGTAGACATTCTGTAGATATGAGTAATCTCCAACGCAATCGCAAGAGGGAGATTGCGGCGACTCGTCCTACTTCACGCAAAGGCAAAGGTAAAGCGCGGGCCGAGTCTTCTTTTCAAAGTCGAGATGAGTTTGAATCGGATTACCAACGGAGAGATGATATGGCGATGTCCGACGAGCAACTACAAAACTTATTGTCCCAAAATGATCCACGCTTTGCACAAGAACAACAATTCCCGACAACCATTGATGAAGATGAGCTCGAGGATGAGGATGCGGAGGAGGACGAAGGGCGGGGGGGTGACGGCACCCCGGATGATGAGCAAGAGTTAGAGGACGAGGGGGTTTCATCCCAAATTGGTAAGAAATCTAAATCTCTTATTATGGAAAACAATTTTACAAAAAGGAAAGACAAAAATACCGATAAATGGTACGCAAGTTGCAATCATTGCAACAAAGAGTATAGCTTGAGAACTTCTGGCGGATACGGGAGTCTGACAAGGCATCTTAAGTCCGCACACTTTGTGGAGTATGCGAAAATAGACAAAGGCAAGGTGAAGCAAACACAAATATCGAAGTTTGCAAATTCTCAACCCTTTGGTAATTTCTCCTATGATGATCAAAAACATTTGACTGGTATGTCTCATTTAATTGTTGAAGAAAATTTACCCTATATTTTTTCCGAAAGTCTTGCTTTAAGAGATTATGCTCAAGGTACTTTAAATCCTCAATTTAGAAATTATAGTCGCAAAACGATTAAAAAAGAAGTTATAAGGCAATATAACTTGGAAAAAGAAAAATCACAAACATTTTTCGCAAACTTTGGTGGACGTGTTAGTATTTGTAGCGATATATGGGAGGATACTTATCATCAATTATATTATTTGGGTCTTACTGCACATTATATTGATGATGATTGGAATATGCATAAACGTGTTCTTGCTTTTCGTGAATTCAATGATCGTCACACTGCTGATAATATTTATATTCTCATTGAGCGTATTTTAATTGAGTATAATTTGATTGATAAAGTGTTTGCTGTAGGTTTTGATCATGCTAGTAATAATACTGCTGCTATACCTAGATTGCGTGAATTGTGTGGTGCTTCTATATTGATGGGTAGGGTTTTTCATCAACGTTGTGCATGTCATATTCTAAATTTGTGTGTATAAGATGGGTTAGCGGCATTAGGAAATGCTTTGGAGGTAGTGAAGGGGGGAATTAAATTGATTTGGGCTAACACTCCACTAAAAATGCAATGACGATAATATTTGAAGGATAGACGTGTCAATTATTGTGCTTTTCCTAAAGATTTGTCTATTCGTTGGAATAGTACTTATAACTTAATTAAAGTACTTATTAGATATAAAGATCATTTTCCTGCTTTTTTAAGACAATCTTGTAACTATATTATAAACCCGGCTGACATCGACACTTGTGAAAAAATTGTTAATGTTTTGCTATATTTTAATAACGCAACTCAAACTTTTAGTCATGTTTATAAACCTACCACAAACGAATTTTTTGTTGAAGCTGTTAATCTCGCCGGCGCTTTTTGTGAATTTTCCGATGCCTCTTACGTTAGTTATTTTTGTGATTTCATGAAACAAAAGTTTTTAAAATATTATTCACATA